CCCTAAAATGATTGACTTAGTGATCAAAAAGATGAGGAAATCTATATTTTCGTTGTTGGAACAAAATTTTCATGTTTTCTTTGATAAATGGATAAAAAGATGATTCTTACTAATTGCTTAATTTCTATCAAATGACTGGAGTTTTAAAGCTGTAGCAAACAGTTTGTCTGAATTAAATATGTTTTTAGTTGCTTTGGTGATTGATGTGTTAGAATCTGTAAGCTGTCTACAATTAGATAACTGCATTAATGAGATCATGTTTATTCCTTAAAATATAAGAATGGTACATGAACACTGGAGGATCAGATGAGCTCATTCAGCCAAGCTGAAGCTTCAAAGCTGCTGCTCAGTGTTTTTGTCCCATGATTCTCAAACTTTTTCAGTTCATGGAAACATTTTTGTTTCTAAAGCTTCTCACGTTGTGGCGATAGGACCGTCCTGTAGGATAGGCTCCAACCTGCCACGCTGAATGTGATGAGTGGAAGAACATGGATAAGTGGATGGCTGTTTGATTTTAAGCCAAACTTATTTCTCTAATTAAGAAAAAGCACTTCTATAATCAAAGAAATGATGCTGTATTTGTGAGCCACCACTAGTTTGCAAAGAAGATGAATTTGACTCAATCAGTATCATCCAGAAAATGTCATTTTAAAATTTTCCTACAGGCTTTGCTCATCTGAAGTATCCTTTATGAATGTGGAGCCCGAATCTTGCTCACTGACTTTTTGTTTTTATTTAATGGTAATTTGGAAAAGAAATTGTCATATTTAATTCCTCTTTATTTGCATTTCAATGTTAAAACATAGTTTAATCTCACCGGATTTTATTCTGAAACCTCTCCCTCCTCCATGTCATCATTTGCATGTTGTTGTTTTCCATTTGCAGAAGAAGAACCTCAACCGACACGCTGCCCTTATCAAAAGAGCATTTGCATATACGTTACAGAAACTTTTTTCCGTATGCATATCTGCTCCTTACTGCTAACCCTATCATTTATACTTTTATTACCAGTGAATGAATCTATAATCAGGTCATTTCTCTGCAGGTTGCAAGTACACGTGCCACACTGCATGTCGGGACAAAGTGGCACTGGACTGCCATCCTCCAGTGTTGCCCGTCAGCCAGGACCAGCTCAACAACAACAACACGCCGCTCCATGTGAGTACACAAAACACTCTGACTGGGATTTCTCGCTTTTGTTTTCCAGTCAGCTCAGTCTAATCCAACTCACGAGAATCTCTTTGTGTGTAACTGTGGTCCAATTATCCACAAATATGTACTACAGTGTGGTTTAAAAAGAAAAAAAAAAGATTATTTAGTGTTATGTGATGGTGAAATAGTGTTTAAGGGGAACCACACACTTCAGTGACCTCCCCTCTGTGCTGTCTGATGATTAGAGATTAGTGTTTTATTGTTAGCCAGTAACAGCAGTTAGTTTTATTGTTATTATGTGATCTTTTATTCTCTCCGAAATCTTCTTGTCTGTGGAAACAAAAACTACATACATTTATTTGTTATACTAGAGGAGTCTAAAAAGTCTCCTGCGTTGTAAAACCCAGGTTATTTTAAATTTTATTTTAAATTTCGGTTTATTTGTCACTGTAATGCTGTCGATCACCTCTGGATTGTGCTGTAGGCTCATTTTTTAGCTGGTGCAGTTTGCCGTTTCCCACTTTTGAGCTATCCACACACACAGTACAAGAGAAAAAAGGAAGCTAACAGTTTATTTCATTATCTTTTGTCGAATGGTGTTAATGCAGTGCTGTGCCTCGTTACCTGGCAGTACAGGCAGAGTAAGACTCGCAGATTACAGGCATGACGGGAAAATATTTACTCTTTCATCCTTTGGTAGAGATGCCCTCTACCGAAGGATAACAACCAAATATTAGTTTGAAAAACATTTATTTAAAACTAAAATGGGCACAAATATATATTTTCAAAATGTCACTGTAGTTACCAAAGTTAGGATATTATTGCTTCAGCAGCCAAAACTTTAAGCACAACCTGTAACAAATTATCTTAAAAGTAGAAATAAACTTAAAATGACA